CGATGTTTCTCTCTCATCGATGTTTCTAGCTCTCTATCCCTCTCCCTTCCTCTCTATAAAAAAACAATAAAATATATTTTTTTTAAAAAAAAAGCTATCAGAGAACTATCTCTCCCTTGGTCCGCATAAAGAGAACATATAACCTAACAAAAAAGTCTCCAACAACATCCTTGCAGCTGATTTGTCAGACAGCTTTGGAAGACCACCCGTCATAACAACCCTCACTAGCCAGCACACAAATCAGTATTTGCAAATGATGGAGAGGAAGGCAATCGAGCCAAGGAGTCCAAGTAGACAGCTCCCTGCAGGTCTAGATCTATCAGAAACAGATTTTATTGTATCTAGACTAACCTAAAATCCAGAGGCTTCATGCATCCACTTATCTCTGAAATTATAAACAAAACTTGATGCACATGTCCCTTTTTCTCTGGGGGATAGGTCTGTAGTTTCACAACATCCTCAAAGAGAAGCATGACTCCAGGAAAGTTAAGAACCACTGATCTAAAGAACTAGACTTTTTAGTTCCTTCAGGCAACCCTTCGTAAGCTGTTTCTCTTCTGAGCTCCAGAGAAGTGCTGAGCCCCAAGACTGTAGCCCCTGACAAGCATCTGAAGTACAGTTTCTCTCTGATGAGACTCTAAGCTTAACCACTGGCCACGCTGTTTGTCAAATGTATGATATAATAATATGTGACCTTCAATACAGTAACGCCTATAAGCATATGGAATACATAACAACCTGTTGTTCTAGATAGGTTCCAGCCATGAACACTGGCAAAGTTGCTTCAAAGAATTGGTGATATTTCTTCAGATAATATGAAAATAAAACAAAACCCACCTTTGCCTGTGGATAAAAATTATAAGTAAGCACACAAAAATGTTCATAGGTAAACATTATGTTTTAATTTTTAAAATAAACTTCCCACATCACTTGATACAACCTGAGCTATTTTTTAACCTCTTTGTTGTTTTAATCTTTGTTATACAGCAAAACAATCACTGTCATAGCTTTAGACACACACACACACATACACACACACATGTAATCAACCATCTACCCATAGTATTGGTGTTTAGAATGTCTCAAGGGCCCAAGGAAGCTGGCCTATAGGACCATCAAGACAAGGCTCTTTAAGATTTCATCCATCTAGAAATTGTGGCCATCCAGAGTCTGGTCCTTGACATAACAAAGCCAAAGATATCTTTGTCAAAAACACATAGTTGCCCAGACTCGAGAACTAACTCATGCTAACCCAACGCATAAGAGCCTGAAGTACAAATAAGAATACCAATTTATTGCTGCTCTCCCATACTGCTGGCAGTATTGGAATAAATGTTCATATATGATTCAAAATAAAAGAATACCAATTTATTAATTAATCATAGAGAAGAGTCTTTTTAACCAATCTGAAAATTTGTACCTGAAGCCAGGGTATTGCTATCCCAATATGAGGATACTGGGAATCCTGATTTAATAGTCAGTTCACCAGAAGTTAGAATAAAGAGAGATAGAGTTTGGGGGATACCTAATGAATGATCCATATCCAACATACACACCTTTCTAGTGATCAGTGTTGTAGCTTTCACATGTATAGCCTCTCTCCTTGGATGTTGTTGCCCTAACACTGCAGTCTTTTTTGGTCTCTAAGTTTTCTTCTTCCATATCCTTCTCTCCATTGGTATTCCCCTAGACAGTGTATGATGCAATTGATGAGGGTACAGTCTGCATGCACTATTATTGTTTTTCAAATTAAAAACTCCCAGATAAAGTGCAACTTGCCCAAGGTCACATTTCAGCTGAGATGTTTGGCATACAGGTCTATCTCTGACACTACACTGAAACTTTTTGAGGATGAGAGTCACGTCTCATTCACCTTTGGATCCCTAGTGCAGTGATGGCGAACCTATGACACGCGTGTCAGAGGTGACTCATTTTTTTGGTTGATTTTTCTTTGTTAAATGGCATTTAAATATATAAAGTAAATATCAAAAATATAAGTCATTATTTTACTATGGTTGCAAATATCAAAAAATTTCTATATGTAACACGGCACCAGAGTTAAGTTAGGGTTTTTCAAAATGCTGACACACTGAGCTCAAAAGGTTCGCCATCATTGCCCTAGTGTGTTATCTGCCTTTCCGGGTTAATATGCAAACTAATCTGTCCAGTGGTTTCATATAAAAATCACCAAACTTGCCCTAACTGGTTTGGCTCAGTGGATAGAGCGACGACCCGCGGACTGAAGGGTCCCAGGTTCGATTCTGGTCAAGGGCATGTACCTTGGTTGCGGGCACATCCCCAGTAGGGAGTGTGCAAGAGGCAGCTGATTGATGTTTCTCTCTCATCGATGTTTCTAACTCTCTATCCCTCTCCCTTCCTCTCTGTGAAAAATCAATAAAATATATATTTTTTAAAAATCACCAAGCTGAAGGCCTTGAACTAGCCACGTAGCCTTAGGAAGGTCACAACTACAGCCATCAACAAACATCTCATCTAAAAATGGATGAAATGAACACACAATGTGGCGTAGGTCCTTTCTGGATCTAAAAAGCACTACCATTTACAGATGGGCCCTGGTGGGTTTTTTATAGCCTATCTTATTAGTGTGAATTATTGGAAATAAAATTAGCCTCCTCAGTTACCTTCTGTAGCACTCTACAGACAGCATATATATAAGTAACAGAGAGTTCAGAAAAAGCTTTCTCTTCTCTGAAAAAAGATAACTATCATTTCTACCAAAATCAAACAGTAGCACCCTCCTCTGGTGAATGTTAAAGGAGCTAAACAACACAAAAGATAAGAAGTAGATGGTGGGATTTTCTTTGAAAGAAAGAAAAGGCAAGAGAGAAATTACCTAAAAATGTGACAATACTGATTATGTTACAAAGAGCAGGCTTTTTAATGTAAGGCAAAATAAAAAGCACTTCATAATTTTGCTAACGATACTCACTTTTCCTCTATTATTTAAAAATTTAATGAAAAGCCCTGTACATGTAAAATAGTTCTGGTTAAATAAAAGCATTTATCTAGTCCCTTTTCTGGGTGACACATTTACCAGAAGACAGTACTGAAAATTTCTCAACCAATTTGGGTCTGCCGTTTTCAGGTTTTAAAATATCAATTTAGCCCTAACCGGTTTGAAAAGAAAATGTAAAATAGCATTCACTTACACATGCAGAATAAAACATGCCAACAGAGCACACCAGACCAGCCAAAGCCGAAGTTTCACAACATTAGCATTACATACAGACCTCTAAATTAAAAATAAAGCAGTGCTTTCTAAGACCAGGAACAGATTATATCATCTGCCAGCAACTTAATTATAAAAACGTTTAAGAAATATAAGCTTTATTAAAAGACTTATCACAGTCTGGAACACAAAATGAAAATATAAACATTCTGACTCAAGGCAAGAAAACGTATCAGTTATCATGTTGGCAACCATGTCATTCAGATATGCTTTTACCACCCAAGTACACAGCATCTCTTCCAATTAACTTCACATCTTTCCCCCACCCTGTGACCCAGGGGAAAGGAACCCACACTACACAGGAGGCTACAAATTTACCACCAATGAGAAACCTTCATTTTGAAAGGCAGAACACAGAAAGGGCTAGGCTGAATGGGAAAGAGCAAAAACTGATTTCGGCTCTGCCAAATAAATTTCCCAACTAAGTTTGCCATTCCTGGCAAACCTGCTTCTACAAGGCAGGTAAGATACAGTATCATGGACAGATTAGCAGAGTGGGAGGTGAAGTGACTTTATATCAGAGATAGAATGCAGATAAGATCACTAATTGAAAGCTTTCTCAATATTCACCCAAAACAAATGCCAAAGGACAAGCAAAGATTGAAAGAGAATGACATCCCCTACAGCCCACCCGCAGATCAGAAGGGCTAAGAAGAGAGTTGGGGCAAAGTTGGATGGGAGTATGGGGTGTGAGGAAGGGGGGAAATGATGAAGAAGGGGTGGGAAGAAGGTAGGGAGGACATACGGGAGAAAGTATGCTGCCAAAAAAAAAAAAAAGAGAGAGAGAGTGTAGGCAACAATGAAACTGTTATAAACTGCCAAATTGAAAGAGATGGGGCGGCTGGCCCGGTGCTCTTTGGAGTTACATTTGCCACTCATTTCTACTGGGCCCATGCCCGAGGACCAGAGCCAATCCTCCCCGGACCTCCAGGAAATCTGAGCCCCAGCGCGCAATCAGGGTGCCGCAGAAAAGAGGGTGAGAGCCCTCAACCGGCCTTCTAACCTCATCACATGAACCCCAAATAAAGGCTTTGAGAAGCTGAGAGCCGTCCGCGCCCCACTTCGACCAGGGCGCAGGGGCGAGACCTGGCATCGCCACCTCTGCAAAGGCCAGGGGCATCTCCGGTCCCGGGCTGCAGAACCAGCTAGACACAGGCGGCCAGCGAGGCGCTGCTGTCAACTGGCCCGACTGCATTTGCGAAGTTAATGGAGTTGGCAAGAAGCGCAGGGATGTCCCTGGGGTCCCTCCTCAAGGCGAAGGCGATGGGAAGGAGTCACGGCTTCTTCCTTCATCCTCACTGAGCCCTCACTGACTCGGCTCTGCATTTTATGTCTCTTTTCCCTAATGAGGATCAAAGAGATTTTCTTCCTTCTCTGTGCCTTCCTCGGTCTCCAACCCTAGAACAGAGGCGCTGAGACCACAGGCCAAAGTTCACTGTAGAAAACCATTAACTCTCCCCGCAAAACTAGCACAGTCATTTGCTGGGGGCTGGCCTTGAGAAACATCACAAATGATGAGGCACCCTATAAGCCAAGGATGACCCTCCCTCTTCCAAAATGGACCTTCAGTCCCAAGAAGTCTGAGTCCAAACATGTTTTTGGCAACTTGGAACTAGTGGCTTGATCCAACCTGGTACCAGGTCATCACCACGCCCCTCGCACCCAAGTCCTCCCCCTCCCTCGTCCCCCACCCCAGCACACCACGTCCTGTTATTTGCACACACACACACAGCCCCCAGAAAACTCCTACCTCGCCCCCGTGCCCGTCGAAGATCCCGAAGATGGACGGGTGCGTCTTGTTGGCTAGGTCCGTCAGAACTTCGAATCGGTCCTCCATGTGGTCTCTCCGGCCCTGGATGGAATACACCGCCACGTTGTGGCTCTTGAACTCCCAGGTCTTGGAAAACTCGGCCTCCAAGACGTCGAGCCCCCCGAGCCGATCGTTCTGCATGATCTCTGCGACCTTGCCCTTCACCATCTTCACGGCGTCCCGGCTGGACTTGACGATGGTCTTCACCTCGTCCGTGTGGAAGAAGTAACTCCACAGCGCCACGCTGATGCACAGCAGGAAGAGCGTCTCGGGTCTCAGCAAGAA